GTGTGTGTGTGTGTGTGTGTGTGTGTGTGTGTGTGTGGGTGCGTGCGTGCGTGCGTGCGTGCGTGCGTGCGTGCGTGCGTGCGTGCGTGCGTGCGTGCGTGCGTGCGTGCGTGCGTGCGTGCGGTTGTCGTCTGCTACGAAGGGAGAACCAAGCTGCAGCGACCACCAAGGCCACCAATCTAAGATAAAGGGAGACCTTGGCACTCAACGCTTCACGCCTCACCACAATCTAACGTGAGTGGGTTGCTGTAGGAATCTCAGGGGCGATGATAAGCCAGGACTCTGAGAGTGACTCTGCTCGCGACTACGAGGTTTCGAGGGACCGCTACTGGGGGAAGTGGGGTCAGAACGATGCCTTCCAGAAAACTTTGTCGTACTGCCTTTAGGATTCTCGGCATGATTGGTTAGGTACTTGAAAGAACCACGAAGTAGCTCATAGCTAATATGCCCTAAATACCCCATACGAAAACAAGATCCCTCCCCCTGTAATCGCCCCAAGAAACCTACAGTTCCCTATGACATCTTCATAGCTACGTCTTGAAGCAAAGGGCAACAGATCCCCATCAGGCCCCAATCAGTGGGGCATAAGCTTATCATGGTGAGAAGAAGCCGAATTTCCATCAGTTCAGTCTTGAACTCACTAGCAAGACGTTCTGTCCGATATCCACTGCAACAAAAGGTTCAAAGTTACAAGCTTGTGCAACGGTTTGCCTGGTTTTTGACTTGAGAGCAAAGTAAGCTGCAATTCTCTTCGCTGGCGTTCTTGCGCTTGATATTTGCCCAGAGCGCTTGCGCCGCCAAGGGGTTGCTAAGCTTAGAATAGCCCAAGACACGACAGGCCAAACGCACATGCACACACGTTGCAGGCACAGCCATTCCAAGGACCAAAATAATGATAATGAATGATCTCTATGGGTAAGTGCCCTAGAATCCTGGCAAGGGTAAAAGGGGAAATTTCGTGCTTGCAGGACTCCAGTAAGCAAGCGCAAAACATCAAGGCCCAAAGTCATCATCTCCCCAACGTTCCAACGTTCCATGCTAGAAGGGCTCAGGGACATGAGAAGGCCCACCAGCGCTTGCGAGAGCATCATGCAACTGCCTCGGATCTGTCTGCGCAGCACTTCTCGGATAGCCAATGGAGGCGTGTGATGCCCGTCTGATGCATTAACTTTCGCATCCTATGCAAGTAATTACATTAGCTAAGTCAAAGATGTTTGAGGCTCTCCCTCTTTGACATTTGATCTCTTGCTTGAGGGCCTGTGACAGGCCTACAACGAAAAAACGCGCAACCCCAAGCAGACCCTGAAATGAAGATTCCAGAGCGATCCTGTGTCTTAACGCTGGCCCCGTCCCAACAATGGTCTCCAAAAGAAAGCAACTCCAGAGCCTTGTCAAAGAGGGTTTGGTGCTATTGGGGCTGAGGGAAGGTTTTGTTGACATACGGGCCTGGTAACAGCATGATCTACGTGAGAGCTGTAGGAAACGATCTAGGAAGTTTCAAGTCGCAAGAATCAATGCCTTAGAGTTAGTGCTTCGAGTTTCTCAGCATATCGGCTAGGCATCATAATAGTCTTTGAAAGGGTTGCTGCACACAACACCACAAGCAAGCTAGTAATCCCTAAAACATGGCCCAATGAAGTATAATGAAGGGCTGCAATTGGACCTAGTTCGGCCTTCTTTGGGAAGCGGCTTTAATTTGAAGTGACCTGGATATGTGCCCAACTTCCGCCCAAGACGCGTGAGTCAATATTTGCCTGAGCCACTGCTGGATTCAAGGATCGGTATTCTTGTTCTGTTTCTGGTATTGGACAAACATCTTAAAAAGTTAAGTACACATTATACGGCACCCAGCCACGGGCGTGAAGCTAACCAAAATGTTGGCGACAGCAGAGCCAAGCGCGATAAACCCGAAAATCCAGCCGGTAGTCACAGGTGAAAATCCAAACTCCACCTGATGCACATCCATATACCTCTAGCCCGTTCGTGCTCTGAAGGGATGTAAGGCGTGGAGATTGCAGAGTGTTGAAGCTACGACATGTTATGGCCATACCAGGCCATGATATGACTAGCGCAAATTTTCCTTTTGCGGTGTGGGCTTAAGGATTCTGCTTGGCATGTTTCGTCAGTCTCAGGTCTTGGGGTGTCAGGAGAGACTTTCACACACACGGGAGTGCTCAAAACGGTGAAGGGAGGCGATATCGGAGAAGACGCATCCCAGCCCTCCGCCTCTTGCCTTGAAAACATACCTGGGAGTTTGCCAGTATGTGTGGCATTAGCAAGGGGGCCGAAATTACCCTCAAGATAAGGACTGCCACTTGCACACTCTTCACATGGGAAAGGCTAGTGTTGGCATATGGCAACCTCAGAAATCATGGTGGTCGCAACTTCGATCGCGCCAACGGAGAATGAGCGCTCAAAGTTGTAAATCACACCGGTGCGGAAGACCAAATTCCTGTCGGAGTCCTGCAGCATTGGCATGTTTTGTTCAAAGTTCGGCCACCTGTTACTAAGTGCTGGTTGGTACTTTGCAGCAGCTTGTGCCCGAAAACACCAACAGCCAAGAGAGATACCATGACCGCAAGCCCAACAACTTCCAAATGAAAAAACCTTGGAGTGTACCGAGCCAGGAAGAAGACAGCCTGGAAATGATCTCTGTGCATCATGCGGACCAGTAATGGCAAACATGGCTTATGACAGTTGCAGATACACATGCCAAGTGCTTGTAGCATTGCCAAGGGCGGGCAGAGACTAATGAAATCTGGCGCGTTGCTCTTGCTTTAACTTGGAGACCCTCTTTGATGCGCTTCTGCGGCTGCTCAAGGAGCTTCGGGCAATTGTTACGAGACCTTCTTTTCAGGAATTCGCTTCGGTCTTGAGATCCTAGCAGGATGCAGACCATCCCCTCTAAATCAATCCCAGAGTCCTCACAAGTGAGGGAGCCTTATTGCCCTGCTACCAAAGTAAGTGCCACATTAACAGTTGGCTTTAACTGGGGTGAGAGGCCAATTTCTTTCCCTTGAACTGTTTTGCTTAGGATGATTACCCCTCAAACATCATGAGGATTCCAAGCTCAGTGATAGCCCATGAGGTTGCCATTCATTGAAGCAATTCTGTAATCGTGACATCCCCCCAGGTTCTAGCTATGCCTTACTATCGCGGATAGCGTAAGTAGCCCGCAGGTTTGAGAACAAACTATGCAGTCACCGCAAAGCCGCTCGCCAAAGCGTGCCAACACCAACCTAGGATCGTCCAGGATCAGAGCCAGGCCAGCCGGCGCTTTTGCCTGCTGTTGGGTTTACGGTTTAGTCTTTAAATGTCTTTAAGGGTTGTGTGGTGATTTAGGGCTATGGTTTGAAATGAAAGAAAGATTTGTTATCTCCAAGGTATAACATTCTGAATAAACTTGAGGGGCAGGCAGCTTTTCCTGCGCATATTGTCCAGTGGGGCTTCTTCTGAGGGCACATTCAGGAAAGCGTTTGGGTTGCATTCCGATTTTTGCAGTGGCCCCCGGAAAGAGTTTCTTGCCGGACGAGTCAGTGTGGTTTGACCATTTTGGGAAAACTCATTCAAGAGCATTTGCGTTTGCTACCTTGGGGTTTCCGATTTTGAATGCTTGAGGGGTCTGCCACCCTTGAAGGTTAGAAGGTTTTGGAGGCCGTACCCAGGCCGTGGGGGGGGCTGACGTGCACTTGCACTGCTGCCACGCAGCTAGCACACATCAACCAACAAAGTCAAGCAACGAACTCCTGCGCAACACCGCGCTACGGATGTCGCATATCCGAGCCCATTCTCTCGGATTTTGGCGCGCTCCTTTTTACAGGGCCATGGAAAAAGACGGATCCACCTTCCTGTCGACGAAATTACGAAACGTCTGCCTGGCATGACTCTCTTCCGCAAGCAATGCAACACGTTCTTTGATTTCACCGCGGTGCTGCGCAGTTGCGACATGGACTGCGCTTGAGTGAAACTGCCTCTTGTCTGATCTATATGGCTTATGCCAAGACTTCTAAACCGTCTCACTTGCGGAGAGCCTGACCGCCTGTGGGGTGGGGAAGCACAGTGCCTGAGGTGGGCGCCCTTGTGCGGCACAGTGTGCTTTTCTGCGTAGCGAAAACTGCACCAGCCCTTGCAGTGCTCTCTAAAAACAGAGCTTGGAAAACAAGCGCTTCCACATGCTAAGGCCCTCCACACGGTAGTGATTCCTCGCTATGCATCCTTCAAGGCATTATGAGCACCCATTCTAATACATGAAAACTGATCACCGAGCCACAACAAAATAATTCTATTTTCGAGGGTGGTACTGGAGCACCTGCAAACGGAGTCCTAATGATGCTGCTGATGATGTTGCTCCAGTGAGCCAACATCATCAACATAATCTTGCTGCCTTTCCCTTTCCCAGGTTTCTAGGCTACCCTCGCACGTTTGGCCAAGCATTGTCGGGTCCAGGAGGGATGCTGGACGTCCCGAGGATATTCTGCTCTTTTTGGTCTATGATGGTTTTATGCATTCTTTTGACGTCCTCGGGCAGTGAGGAGTCTGCGGGCTTATGAATCTGAAATTTGATGCGTTTTTTGGGTGGCTTTAATGACGTTCTTTGCTTCTGGGGGTTCTGGTGGTCTTACCATGCACCTGGATCGACGCTGCGCTAGTCAGCTTGAAGGGTACTTTGGGGGCACTGAAGGATTGCAGCTGCTAACTCAAAGAAAATGGGCGACGGGAAGATGACAAAACATTCGCCTTCAAATCTGAAACCCAAAGGCGAAGGTGGGGAACAACACAAAGTGGCCTTATCACCCTCGGCAGCAGGCAAAGCCGTCGTCTCAATGGCCCTTTCGGGCGACCGACGCGGCACTAGCAGCACAATCATTGCCAACAAGAGCACCTGAGATGAGCTTTTCCTGCGTGAGCACAAAGAGCTCAAACGCATGGTGCATACGGTCAATGCCATCAGTGCCGAGACCATGAAATATATTTTGATATGATCAATTTGTTGGGTATTGCGGATCTGTTCTACGTGCACCAGGAGCATCTCCTCTTTCCGGTTCAACCTCCGAGGCACGTTCACTGCTACGAACAGCATGGCAGGCGCTGCCCCGGCTTGACGAACTTTGGCAGAACTTTGTTCCATCCCATTCAAGTGGAAGAAGACAAGAGCCAGCGAGGACATTACCTTGATCAAGGAGTTTGCATGAGAACAATCCAACAATGCTAGCAGAAACGCGACAGCTGGGAAGGCAGCTAGATTGCAGCTACCTCCTTCAATCCGCAATAAGTAAGGTGAGTCATTCCAGCGAAAAAGACCGTCCACAAACATGAAACAATTAAATACTTTCCAACGTGGATGGCGCTGTTGAAGCATTTCTCCTTGTAAAAACCCTGCCCCAAGCCACACCCCTCTAAACGACAACTCACAGGGCAGCTCCAATACAAACAGCAAGAAAGGGGAGTCTTCGCATGAACCGAGGTACGCCACCCATACAATGCCCCATGCCAAAGCACGCTTGGTTTGATGTCTGTAAGTTCATGAGCTCCTTCAGGCGCGAATTTCCGAAGGTTAGACTTCAACGCGTTTTGGGCATTCGGTGTCGTTTTGACCCTGACATGTTGCAGATATGAATCACGTTCGGATGTAGGTCAGGGTTCCAGATACGTCAACAAAAACAATGAAATAGTCATGAAAAACTTAACTAAAGACCACCGATCCAGCCAAAACACACAGGTTAAATCCACTGAAACCACTGCGGCCGTACAGGCTGAAGTATCCAAATTTTGTGATGCTTGCTGAAATATGTTGACCTTACGGATCCGAGTTCCGACCCTCTGAATATTGATCTTCCTCTGGCGGGGTCATCTCGAAGGCAAGCCAACTCGCGGCTAGGTTAGCGAATCCGCCAAAGAAGCCCCCCAGGGATCGGAAGAAGATCAGCAGGAACCATACCTTGACACTCAGAGCAAATGTCCACCATGGCGACCCTTTCACATGATGATTGTGACTTGGTCTACAAAAGACTTTTTTTAACTCCTACATGTGTATGGGCGTTGAAGGTTTAAATTCACTCTGATAACTACGAATGTATGGTGGAGCCTGGGCGATCCTAAAAACGTATTTTTAGCATCCATCTTTCGTCCTGGCAATGCTGTGAGGGGCACTGTTGACTGCTGTTCTGCTGTACGGGCTTTGCAGATATTTGGTAGGAACATAAACTCAAAACCCGCGAAACTTTTCACGCTTAGCTCAAGGCGCCTGTTACCGATACGGCGCCGGAATGAACAAACTTTTTTGCTGCGGGCTTGCTGAGGTCCACGCCCGGATACGAGGCCCGGAATGAACAAACTAAACTTGGTTCTCTGCAGAACGGTTCCGAGTTCGCATTCAACCTGTTCGATAACCTTGTTTGGGCGAAGGTTTTTTTGTTCGCTTGCTGAGCCAATGAGGCTTGGGAAATGGTATTCACGGGCGTTGCTCAAGGTATTCCCCTCTCAGATGGTGGATCCAGCGCACCAGTTCTGCTGCCCGTACGCTGCCGCGTGGTCATACGTGCGCTGTATGGGTCGCACAGACACGAGAAGGTTGCAGCGTCACGCTTTTAAAGACGTGATCTCTGAATGTCATGGGTGCAGGAGTTTCGGATCTCAGCAGCAAGTGTGGTTTTGGCTGCCGGCGATGCATGTGCAGATTCATACCAATCCCATTGGGCTAGGATGCCGCGGTTGCGCAGTCCCCGTTCACAACACAGGACGTCTTAATTGCCAGCCCAGATCACGAATTTGCTGCATTTTTCGGTGTGTGGTGCCATATGCATCCCGGCCCTCAAATAAGTTACGTCGACACCCAGAGAATGCTTGTGAGGTGGTCTCGGAGGAACACTTCCTCAAGGTCATTGTGTCGAAGCATCTCGGCACCTTCGATGTGGGCTTGATCTACCCGGGCTGGATAGATTAACAAGAAACCAGATTGCCGAACAGGGGGTAGCCTACGCGGCGCTACGCGGATATGCTGTGGCAAGGACCTCCATCCCCTATGCATTGCAGTCCCGGACGCCAGCAGATTTGGAACGTCAACCTGAAGTTTCAGTTGGATATAACCTCTTCGCCGGGGCACCAAGCCCTCACAGTTGAGACACGCAAATCCAAGTCTAGTCTAACTCCGGCCAAGGAGAGTCAGGATCATGTTCCATGAAATCCTAAAATGCTTGACCGGCCTGACCTCAATAAAAAGCAAAGCAGCAGGGCTGACGCTTTGTGCCGTCGCCTCAAGGGTCGACACACGATCTGCAAAAGGACCTACGATGGCCTCAGCTATCATCTTCGTGAGCACCGTCTTCGGCAGTTGGAGCCTGCGCGGTCCCTATTGTAATGCTCCGGCATTCAACCTGGAAGTCGCTGGGGGCTTCAAGGAGTCCATTATACAGAATAAGTGCAACATCCTTCGTTTACCCCTGGGGATCGAAACTGTCCCGCCGCAACACAAACATCTGGATTTGACTTGCAAGGCCGGAAGCTTTCCCCTGCATTGCCCTGAGGATAGGCGTGATCTCACAAACAAATCTCTTCTCCTTGTCCTCTGGACTGGCTTTTGCCCTTGTTCTTGGCCTTCCTGAAAAGGGTGTTGGCAGCCAATGCAACTGAGTTGCATGACCCGCAACTCTTCGGAGCAATGGCCTCAAACCCATCCAGCTCATAATCTTCATATCCTTGCCCCTCATCAGGTACGAATTCGTCTTCATCATCATCATCATCACCATTATCATCGTCATCAGCTTCATGGATTAACTCTTGTCACTGTCATCATCCTCATGAACCATCATCGTCGTCATCCTCATCATCATCTTCACCCTTCTTCTCCCCCTTATCATCTTCATCATCATCTGCAGCGGCTTGCCACGTTCAAGGTGCCAAACAATGGCCAGCGCAGGAGTGAGGATAGCATTTGTCTTGGCAGTGCAGCATGTGCAGCGCATACTTGGTCTGACCTGCTGGCCTCCGAGGGTCTTGCCCTCTCAGGGATGAGCACAAGAGTAGTGTTGCACAGGGGGGTGTAGCAGCGGAGTAGTGCCCCTCAAGGGTAGAAGCTACTGCCTCAAAACGTTATCAGCGATAGACGCCTTGATTTTTCGTAACCGCTGCATCGTCAGACGAGAAAGCTCCTCCAACAACTCAACACGCACCTGTTCTGACAACTCGATGCTCTTGCAATCTCGAGAAACTTCCACTTAAGCCGTTTCATGAAGCGTACGTACGACAGCGTGGCCTCTCCAGCTTGGCGTGAGAGTATGCGATGTTGCTGTCCTGCTTTGGACAGCTGTCGAGCCTCTTCAGCGGCAGGGAAAACAAGCTCGCGCATGCTCAATAAATGCTTGCGGGGCACCTGGGGAAGTGAAAGACTCCACACCGATGTAGGTTTTCGCGAGCAAGGCCTCGCTTGGCAGACCTTCAAAAATACATTGGGCCATCTCCGTTCCTCTGGCAAACATACGTCGAGGACTGGTCCGGATCTCCCGTTGATGATGTTGAGGATCGCCAAGCTGGAAGAATTTGAGATTTTGCCTTGACGTCCATTGCCTGCCTGCTCTTCGTCTTCAGAGAAGCAGCATTTCAGACTGGGGCGCGGCGTGCGAGGCTTGAGCTATTGCGTAGCAACCTTCGTAAAGCTTCAGGCGCGCAAGCGTCCTGAAGTTTCAAGTGTGGAAGCTCGCTGGATCGGCATGATGAATGTACGACCCTAGCTTGATAGCGGAGTACCAAAGCTGCCGATTCCGCGCAGAAACCTGCGTCTTGCCACGGACACTGCCAACAGCAATGGCCCGTAGCTACAACTAGAAGGGCCTAGTGGGGGCCGAATTCTGGGTCGATGGTATGGGCTCGCCCAAGCAGGTCTAAGCTGCTCCGCTACCAGCATCTACCAGTGTGGGTAAGAGGAAGTACAAACACTGCGAAGCTTTTGACAGTTAGCTCGAGGTGCCTGTAGCACCTGTGGCGAATACCAGTGTCGGAGTCGCAAACTAAAATTTGTTTTTCTTGTTGTCCGAAAGCCGAAGCACTCCCAAAAGAGTATACCTCCATTGCAATTTCTGGGTTTGGCAGATGTCCAAGCTGACTGAGCCCCGACCGTACTCTCACCTGAGAACTTGGAAAAGGGCCTTTTGCAAAGGACCTTTTGGTGATTTTTTGCGGGAGTGTAAAGCGAGGCATTGCTTTTGTTATCCCAAAGACCGCAGCATCTGCTGGCAGGAACAAGGCCAAGATGAAGCCGATGTAGGCCATAGCTTGTAGGAATCTCGGCTTCAGGTGGGTTTCAGGCGTAGGGGCCGCGGTTATGAGATGTTGTGGATTCAGGCGTTGGGGCTCTTGGCTTTTAATTTAGGTTGCGCCCAGCTATCCTGGCTGAATGTACTGGCGGTTCAGGAAATGAAGAAACGTGCTCAATACCCGTAGCAACTAGATCTTAGGATGAGGTCTAGGGACTTGGATGTAAGGTGTTAGGATTGCAAGAGTTGAATGCCACAGGTGTTTGTGCCAGGGGATCTGCATTGGAGTTGTTGTATTGGAGTTGTATGATCGGAGCTTGACTTGAAGGATACGAGCAAGTCCGAGAGGAGTATTGCAGGACTTTCCGAAGCGATTTGAATTGAAAATGTAGTCTCTTAGTTTTAGGAAGCTAGTTGTATATTATGCATGAAGCTGCCATTAAGCTTTCTCTGGCCGATGTCATTTTGAAAGTTGGTTTCCAGTACTGTCAGCTACAGTCTCCAAACTCGCCATTATGCTTGCCCGATACCGCCCAGGATCATCTGTACCTGAGTCTTGGACCTCAGGGTTGTTGGAGCTTAGGCTTTGCGCTCATAAAGCTTGAGACAACAACTTTTGATTTCCAAGGCTCTTACTTCTACAGTTTTACATATTTGGTACCACTTGCTCTTTTTGCTTCATGGTGCATTCGAGATTTGCAGCTCGCAGAGCTTGGATCTGGCCCTGCCCGGTGAAGTGTATACTCCAAACCCCATTCATGTCGCAGCAAAACTCCCTAAGTTTGTCATTTCGAAGGACCAGGCGACACTGGAATCTCAGGGACAAAATCTACAACCAGGATTCCTAGAGTGTTCCTCGATGGCTGCACCTAAGGACACACCATGTATACTCGCACAAATGTTCCAAAGGAAGGCTACACATGGACACACGCACGCACCACAACTACTCAAAATTCTACTTCACTTGTGACAAGTCACCTCCTAGAAGACCTGTGTAAGAACCCAAAACAGTCTCCGCTCAAGTGCTGGCATTGATACCTCGAACCTTGACATGCCTGCATGCTTTCAACTTGGACCGAAAAAAAGTCCTAAGTCGTAAGCCCACTCATAAGGGATTCATTCAGGGATGGCCTTTCCAGGGGGTAGTGACCTCATACCTTAAGCAAAAGGGTCCAAAAATCCGATATATCCGAACCCCAAGTCTCAAAGGCTCTGCCAGCTGCGTGGTAAAGAACCTCCATGGCCACACCCCCAAACCCGCTAACTCACCCAGCCCAGGAACTGTCCCAGAGCCACGGCGGCACGCATCCCACGTGGGGTGGTCAGCATTGCTCTGGTTCCCAGCGTCGCCACACACCATTGGGCCAGCAAACCTGCTGGAGCACTTATGAACAAACACCTTCGTATACGCTTCAGCTACGCTAGATTCTGGTGCTTTGATGAATAAGCAGAATTCAGAATTACTTTGAAAACATTTTGCTGAGCTGGTTCCCCATTTTTCGACCAACGTTACGCATGACACAAAGCCAAATGTTTAAACAAATCTAAGTCACCACCCAGGCATGGGCAGCTGGAGAGAATCCCCGAAGAGGCAGCGGAGAAACCCAGTTCGCGTGCCAGCGGCAGGGAAACCGTGAGGAGCAGGCTATGCGAGATACTGATCCTGGGATGCTTTTGCTATGGGAAGAGGAACCCCTTTCGGCGTTCTGAGCCCCCTTTTCGGCTCAGCTTTCATTGTTAATAAAACTACCCTGCCTACCCAGGCAAAGGGATGGCGACTCCTTAGGCCCTTCGGACTTTACTCCCCACCTACTTGGAGATCCTTGCTAACCACACATCAGCCTAACAATTCAATCCTGCATCCTGCAAACAATCTTCATGCAAGCTTCACAGAAACGGCGTGACCCGTAATTACTTCCACCCGACGCGACTCGCCTGAACCTAGTTACTGGAAAACCTGGTGTAGGCACGTGCGCAAGCGTGCAGCCCGCAAGGGGACCACAAAACAAGGAGTACCAGCACTAACTGCTTCTTTAGCATTGGCAAGATTTTTGCTAGATTTTTGCAGAGTTCTAAGTTTGAGGGCTTCTTAACGCTGCGGGTCGTTTGGTTGCATAAAAAGGCTTATGAGACCTATAGCAATGTCTTTTGGAGGGATTCCAGTAGTTCGTCCTCATTGCCGCAACTACTTGAAGCGAGGAGCAAAAAAGAGGTGGCGAGGTAAGTAAACTGCCCTGCCCGCCGGCTCTGTGCGAAACTTATCTCACACATCTCCAGAGCCCACAGTACAGCGCACGCACAGCCCACGGAAATGAGGAATCCACTCATCAAGCCCTTGGCTCTTGAAAGCACAGGGCACATGTAGGCGTAGGAAAACTGAATGATAGGAGCAGAACCCTTACTCTAATGGCGGACCTTGCAACGCAAGAAGAAACGGCGCTTGCTTCAAAAAGCAGTCTGGGGACATGTGGCTCGTCCGATGACAACGCCTTCTCCCAGGCGTCAATACGAGAATCTGTGGAGACCATCACTGCAGATTGTCCTCTGTGACCTGGGTGCATCCTAATTGGTAAGGGCCTGACTATTGTAGTTCAACTGGCCATATAACTTGAATTCATAAGCACGCATTTGGAGATCAACGGGCCATCTGATGAGCTGAGGTCGGAAGCAGGGGCGCCTAGTATTGCTACCGGACTTGGGAATCCTGCACACCTAGTATACACAGGTTCACCCTGTGCCACAACAGACAACAGTTCAACCCTCTCACGGTAGGCATTCCGGGGGGAGGTGATAAAATCAAGGCCCCCAGGAGGCTGTCCACCAACTGTGTGAGTATTCCCGACATCTAGAATGGACATCTTTTGGATAACTCTTTCATGGCAAGGACCCAGAACTTTTTCCAGGGCTTGCTAGAGGCTCATTGGCGTTCTCTGGGTTTGCCTGGGGTCATCAAGCCATGGTATCGGCACGTCCCCCTTTGATTTCTAACAAGTGTAAATATACCAAACCCACAGCCACCCCCCGCCCCTCATGCGAATGGGGCCATCTGTGACAAGCGGCCATGCCCATCTATCTCCAATTTTCTCCAGGCTGCAGGTTCCGCATCTGCCTTTTTTGGAGGGCAGGAAGGACTCCCGAATTGTACATTTTTTCAGAAAGCTGTTGATTTGAGCTGAAGGCTTCATAATGTTAAAAACGGATTCATCCAATGCATATGACTCCCCTCCGAGAAACGGAAAACAAAATCAAGAATAAATATGTGCGGCTTCATGGTATCCCAAAGGGAGCACGAAATATGCATACACATTCAGCTACCCCCAAGAACCAACTGTTCTCTAAATCCAAGTGGCCAAAACTCAATCCCAAATCAGTGGCTTCCTAATTCAAGATCAAGAAGCACCAACAACTTAAACATAAAACTAACTAGCGATAGTGACCCACCACTCACCCCAATGTAGATTTGAGATGGCCGCACTGCTTTATCCAACAGATTTGACTTTCCACGCTTCGACTTTTTTATGCACGCGAACCAGGTCTAGGTCTTGTCCTGGGGGACATGTTTGTGCGTCGGTAGTTTGGAATTGTAGGCATAATCGGGATGAAGGAACATTCCACTCATTGCCGATGCGATTAGGATTTGGAGAAGGCACAGGAAGAAAAGGCGGCGGGGGTATGGTAGTGGCTGAATGCCTACATTGTCAGGATTTGCCAGAGGTATGGATTCCTGTTCATGCAGGACGCTTGAACCCCCTAGAAACTCTGCAGTTATGCTATGCTTGTAGCTTGCTTGTAGCTTGGGTTGCGAAAGCCTTCACGAACTATATCTATGTACAGAAAACACTTGGGGAGAACGTAAACCTAAGATAGGAATGAGAAGCACGCAGGGCTCTACAGGCATGATACAAAAAGGGCCTTAGCAGAATATCACACAGCCAGAGCTACTTATGTAGGGTTTCTCCAACGGGCCTCTTTGTTGCCCCCAACATGCTAATGTGATCCTGGGGCCCGAGGCGTACCCCATGATGAGTAACCGCGCTTGTTTGCTAGAACATGTTGTAGACTAGGGTTTGGGGAGTAAGCACATACACATCTTGCGATCTGGCGCTTCTGCCCACATAAGCCCACTTATGTTTCCCGCGTGATCCCTGTACCCCTGGGTGACTTGCTGATGCAGCCGCAACATTTACATTCCAACCATCCCCCTTTGCAACCTGCATACAAGTCCATAAAGAATGCCAATTTCTTCTGAATTTACTGTACCAGATCTTCCTGCCACTAATGATGTAAAGCCAGTTCAAGAAAACAGAGAGGTAGCCAGGAGGCCAAGACTTTCCCACTCATAACAGTAACAACTGTTTCGGAGCGACGGAACGTTTAGAAACACGGATTCGGAACAACGCAGTTTTCAGAAACACAAGGACATAACTCTTTAGGAGTCTTGGGAGGTAAATATGAACAAACAAGTCACAAGTGGCTGTCTATGCTTCGACATGTCTGCGGACACGATACCCAAGAGTACAACACATGTGAAATTCATAGGGCGTACTACCTTTCACTGCCACAAGTCATCGGGCCAGACTTACTGCTGTTAATTCCTTTGTCGAGCGAATACGTTAGCTGCCTATAACCCCACAGAGATTTGCAAACGAAGACAAATCATGCATAAGCAGGAGCCAGCTTCTGACACACTCACATTCAGCTGCAAAAGGCAGGCATCTTCCTCGGTGTGGGTCTGTTCCAACGGTTCCAGCGCAAAACCGGCACGGACCAGTGTTGCAGCTGCAAGGCATGCAAACAACATCTGGCAGTTATGCAGTAACATGCAGTATAAGTGGTCTTCACTTCACGCGTCGATACTGCACTACCTGGCTGGGTTCTCAAGGACTGTGTCGGGTGGATGAGAAGGTACGGTTTCCTCCTGAGCCCAAGTTCGGACGCCGCAAAGCACATTGGTAGAGCGTCTGGTGGAACGATTGAATATACGGGAGGTGGACAATCAACAGGCACTGCGCAAAATCTATGCATGGCTTTCCCGAAAATGTGCAAGGCATCCATAGGGGTGTTGAAAGAGATTTGTGATTTGTATAAAACAAGGTAGACTAAGTTCAGAAAATGTAGCTTTTCAGTAAACGTAATAAGCAAATACTACTCCCCACACTCAGGTGTAACCGGTTTGCTTTTGGCCCTGGGGATTCTGCATTTACAATATGTGGTATTTGTTGTTTGAGATGGATCGCCCATAATTGCTCTCATACTATTGAGCATCCTCCGCCATCACCCAATGTTCACATATCCAACGCTACGAGAGACTGCAAATTCGGATTTGACTCCAGAATGTCGTACAAAAGGAAAGAATGGATCGAGGCCCATGACAACCCATGAAACTTGTGCTCTTCTCCTTCTCTTCCTGCGAATAAGTGTTCTGCAAATCAAGCACCTTGGCTCTCTACCAACTGAGGTTCCTGGCCAAGAAAGGACAACTTTTCCTTGAACATTGGATCTTACATATAAGTATCCGGCGTATCCCCAGAGCTTAAACGGTTACCTGTAAGTGCCCTCTGTCGGCCTCACTTGGCCAGGCTGAGGATTGACGTCGTCTGGATCTGTCCTGTTAGTAATTGGAGATACTCCCTCAAAAATTGTACCATTTGCTCTTCCTGATTCTCCTGGCTGGAATCCGAGGCCAGATTGGAGATGCTGTCATATGTCCCATATCCAAAATGCTTCTCTGTGGTCCAGTGATGCCTTCCGTGCCAGTGCTTCTCAATGGAGCCGTCCGCAAAGTGTGCAGAAGCATAATCTGCCGAGGGATATTGCAGGTTCTTCGCAAAAGAAGGCCAGATCTGAATAAAGGGCATGAGCTTGCAGAGAGACGAACCCCATGCAACAAAAGAGACTATTTGGTTGACACGCTTCTGCGCTAAAATCATCTGCCCTGCCAGCTTCCAATGCCAATTGCGGTACTCCTCGTAATAGTGGTGGATCAAAGTGTTGTACCTCAACTGAATTCCGCATTCTAAAGTTTCTTTCTTGAACCCTCTACTTGTTCAACGAAGCCACAAGGATCTCCACATGAATGCGCAATTGTCAAAGAAGGGGACGAACACGAAGCAGAGATTGACGTACGCTGCCTGCCCAGCTGGGGGATGGACTGAACATGGTCAGCCTTTGCCGTATTTCCGAAAAGAATACTTTCCCACTGCAGGTTGGCCGCTTCCTGAAAATACTAGCATGTGCCCTGGCCACCGAGATCTTCTCTGAAGATTCAATGATTAAACTGTGGTTTTTGGTTGCTGCAGAACCGACCTACAGCGTAGAAGAACAACTGCCATTATGGGTAGCTGCCATTTCACCTTCCAGCTGATGTTCCATCATTCTCATCTAATCCTTCGTCTTGTAATTCTATAACCCTTACATCGTGCATAGAAAATCCTCATAACCATTGTAGTCCATGTGGCCTCTGCGCCGCTCTCTAGCAATCCGCAGTCTTGACAGGCCGTCAAACATGTCTGTGACGCTGCGAAATGGTGCTCCTACGCCAGGACCATTGCAAGCTTGGAATGCGAGAGACCTGCAATCTTCTTATATCATCCCACATATCGTCCCCAAAAGTGTGCTAGTTTGATCAACCGTCGCACGCTCCTCCACATTAAGAGGCTATCTTCTCCCCTAACGATGGCAGAACGAACCCTCCTTGGTCCTTGGGGTTACCTCATGCCTTCCCCCCAGCCACGACATACTCTCCAAACAGCCCTTTCCGGAAGCAGTTGAGAGCGCGAAGTACCCAGAAGAAGGTAGATCGTTAACGTCTTGGGAAAAGTTCAGGCCTGTTCAAAATGTATTAGGAAGTAGGTGGGGACTTGCGGCATTGAGGCAAGCCTAGTCATCCGGTCCTCATCGCCGACACGACATTTTCAGGTAAAGTGTAAGGCAGATTTTGTGGATTCGGAAGAGATTTTGAAGCTTCCAAACGGACGAAAACGTGTCGCCGGCTCATGGAACTTGTCCCCTCTTTGCTCACCCACAATGGTACCTGCATTCGTTCCTCCACTCCCCTGGAGCGCCAGTATGAACCCCTGGGCCTCCAGCGCCATGAGCGTGCTGGGCTATGTCTTTGCTGCATACTGCCCACAGAGATTCAACAAAAACCCACACAACATGACAGCGCCTAAGGCATTTTGTTTCTGAAACGCGCATCAGGCCATACATACTGGGATTGACTCCTAGGCCCAGATTAGAACTAGAGTCCTGCACAAAAGTCCCCCTAGAAACTAATGCAATGGAATTGACTGAACACGTTGTGACGGGTTTTGCTACACGCTTTCGGCCCTGTCCCGACAAGACACATGGGTCATTGCTTACCACTTCGGGTCAGTTTCTGGATTGTGGTAGAATGTACATGAATCTCCTTCAGGCAGTTGTTTCAGTTACTCGGGCAAGTAGGCTTGGGCTATTGCAAGAAAAGACTGGGGACATCCATTGCGGTCGCACTCTGCGGTCCTTGTGCCAGCAGGTGTAGAAAGGCTGGACATGCAACATGCGGTGCATGGACCAATGCCTTGGAATGCTTCAGGTGTCATCTATGGTCTGTCTAAGCTCCTTGCGCCTACTGGAAGCCGTATAGCCTTGTAAATCTTGGAGCTTGCATTCCACAATTCAATGCTACAGAAAGACAGGTGAAGAACAAGTCTTTCCTACTCCAGCTGCAACCTGGTAATTGTCTTTGTGCGGTCCCTCAACAGTAAGCAGATCGTGCACGGGGACCCCATGATCTTTGCTCCAATAGCCCCGCATGCCGTTATGCGAAGCAACATCCTTCATCGAAGGCTGCCAGTGCCGTGTCATCAGGCGTTTGAAGGGTTTCCCCTGACCTTGCCCCTGGAAACTGTCCACTTGCTGGAGTATGCCATACTACGTGAAGAAACAAATTCAACGCACCCGAATGCAAGTGTTATGTTCAATTCGGAATGAAGTCAAATGATCTGTGACGCCCCACTCGAGCAAACATTCGGCAAACCGCCCTTGAAATACACACGTAGATAAGTTCAGCAGTGCAGAATGTGCTTGAAGAAGCGCGAATGATACGTGTACTAAGAGGAGAGGCGTCAACTGAGCACGGCACATAACAGCTTTGACTCCTTGCCTCCGCTTTGCTGTCACGCAAAGGTTTCATGCAAGGGATGGGCTTACAGACGCGTAATGCCTTGTCTGTTTCGAATTTGCTGTTTAGGGATGATGGCAGGCATGGCTCGCAAATCTTCTGGGGATTTCAATGGTAGATGCTAATGGCGAAAAACAACAGTTGGCGACTCAATGCCGGTTCAATGGATCATGGTGCGGATAAACTTCCACGCGACCCACCTAAAGCCATGATGATCGTTGCAGGGACTATCTCTGGCAGTCTGTTTCATTTCCTATGTTCTTAACTTGTGGTCTGAGTTTACACTAATGGGAGATCAGTTGGACAAGAAACATGGAAAGTACATTTCAGATTGGTATTTCTATGGAGTTCCAGGGTCTTGCGCTATTGGGACAATTTGCGAAATGCGAAACAAAAGCTCTTCTAGTTCTGCTATACCGAGAATCCCAAACGAAGCCACTGCAGCTCGCAGCCCGAGCATCAGCAGAATGCCAATGGCAGACCAGGAATACCTTGGGAGGCCAATGAACCCCGACCCCCAGCAGGAGCCTCAGGGATAGGCTAAATAGGTCAAATAGGTCGAACTTAACAAAAGAAAAAAGATGGGGTTTCAGAGGGTCCTAAAGGGGGGTTAGAGCTGAGGAGATGCTAAAGCTACGCTCCAGGTACGGTGTGGCTTGGTAGACAAAGTGAGCAGACAACTGCAGAGCCTGCCAGCCCAGCTGGAAACCCAGCACCGAGTACGAATACCTCGTGGTCTAACAAGCTGGTATTTAAGCTATATCTATGATCTGCCTCTGCGCTGCACATCTCCAACACAACAGCGTTTGCACGCAGGAAAACCCAGTGGGGACTTTTGGTTTCCCCTTTGGCTTCTCCTTTGGCTGTTTTCTGCATCCTGCTCTGCACAGTACTCATTATTACCGAACAAGCGCTCTTCATCTCCAGCTTGCTGGGACTTGGTTCAGCTGAAAAAGGTTGTAATTATGCCTGTTTTTGTGTCCAAGCATCGCGTAGACGGAATCACAGAGATGGTAGCCGAAGGTTGGTGTTGCGGAGCTTCGCCGCTTGGCTAATGCGGACCGGTAATACGCATGGTTCGCCAAAATCTCCAGGAGCCTTGCGACAATAAATGCCAAAGCATTTGTCCAACGATTGCTTCCTGGAATATCACACGAATCCCATTTCTCGGACCACTTTTCTGAAAATCACCATGAGATTGCTCTATGCAGTCATGTCTGCCTCGCACCTCAACACCACTAGCGGCTGTTCAGGGATTGGAGCTGCTGCAAAGGTACAAGTTGCCTGCCAAGTACCCTTGTTCGCGGTGCCCGCCAACCGCGGCAGAAAACGAATGAAAGAAGGAAGCTGGTGCTCAGGTATGCTCGAACGTGGTTCCGGTATCATGCTGCCGTTGTGTAAGTGCCCCTGCCAGGCAACTGGGACGTTGAAGATGTGTTGACGGCAGGTCGTCTGAATCAATACTCTAGCACACTGTAGAAACCCAACCTAATCAAAGCCCAAGAGTTTCAGACCTGCACACGGCATTGGGACACTTGTCTGATTACTTTCCGATTTCGTATGTTTACAGTGCATACAGAGCTCCCCATCAAACAGTCCCAGAAACATTGCCGTCTTCCACAGAACCCACCACGACACCATGAGTACACTGAGGCCTTCCATTACCTGGGCTGCTGTTGACGAGCTTAACTGTCAGCCTCGGCAATAACCTCTAAGAACCCCTAAGCAATGCTAAATTTGTAACTGAAAATCAACTACTTAAGAGCAGCCAGTGGCGTCCCACGACAACGGCTCAACCAAAATGGCAGGCCACCAGTCCTTTGTGTTCTGAATCCAGAGAGAGCAAAAAAAAACATTTACGTGTAGCGGTGCGTCGCTGAGTACAACCTAACACCGTAACATAATTTGTCAACGGTACAAGGCCATATCCGACATGATGATGATGATGCTATTGATGATGATGAACATGTTGATTCTGATGGTGATGATGCAACGAAATATGAGGTCCAGGTTAAGCCTGCCAATAATCATTTCCCCCTAAAATCAAAGAGCTCCCCCCCCGAAATATGAGGGGGCGGAAGTATTTGTCGTATGCCCCGAACTTAAGGGGCGTATATACTAGAATCCTATTCAAGCCTAATCAAAACCGAAGAAAAGTCGATAAAACCGAATAAAAAGACCCATTAAATCCAATTAATCAAAACTGTAATGAAATCGTACTAGAACCATAATAGATCACTGCTGATAAATTCGAGTCTATTGAAATCTAAAATCTAAATTTAACCGTTAAATTTAATCAATTCAAATGCGTTCCCATAAACATTAGAACCTGTTGATCATCTAATGAAACTTCCAGAAAATCTAATCATAAATGAAAATCAACGGCCATTTAATTCAAGTCTAATTACAAAACATTCGAAACCGATTTCAAACCGCAATAAACCCAATTAAAATGAATTTCGGATTATGTATAACTTCCTTGTAAAAGCAAATAAAGAAGCAGAAATCTCGGAAATCAAGCAGATCCCAAATCTTTTAGACTCGTGCTCGGGACCCCCCAATTCAGAGGATCCGAACCGTAATTAACTTTAGTCTTGGCCCTTTCAAAAGTAATCTTTGGGGTAGAAGGGATTAGTTGCATTGCCGGGCTAAAGGAAACTTTAAAAAAACCTGAGAGGCTAGACTAGACATAGAGGGTTTTTGTGGTTGCTTATGAGATTGGTGTTGGCTTCATGTCATGAAGGTAACCTCGTTTTCTGTCGTTCATTTGCTTAAGGCGCGGCGAACTAACAAGGAGATAAAAGGGTGCCACTGGACCACCTAGACTCCGCAGTCGCGCAGAGGAAAAGGTGGATGGCCATCCAAAACGGAAGGTTGAGTAACCTGGGTCCGCACTTGATAACACTCCCTCATACTCCCTCCAAGGATGGCATAAACCCTATCCAGCAATCCCTGTACAACCACCATGATGTGCGAGTTAATGAGCAAAAGCTTAGGGGCAGCATGGGCGCGATGAAAACGCAGGCAGCGCCTAGCGCAAGCTGCAGTTGGCTGAGCCTTCGTCGTCCATCTGATACAAGGAACACTCCGGAAAATCAACTCTTTGCCTTCACGCGGGGTAACACAATTTGATAAAGTCTCAATGCGTTTATTCCCGTCGGGTTTCGGTTCAGGGTGCGGGGTTGCATGAATACTACCTTTCAAGCATGAAAGCTGTCTTGGGTGTCCTATGAAATTTAGCCTCCAAAGCCTGAAACCGTACCCTGTGAATCCATGTGCCACAAACAGAAACAAGTTCCACCAGGAGATCAAAGACAAGGATCACGTATGCTCTGACCGAGCCCATGCAAAAATTGCGGAAGGTTAGGCCATAGGTCTTCGCGAGTATGCAGCACCCATTCAGCAAGGCGAAAATCCTAGATTTCAAGCGGACATGCGTTTTGGATTTGAGGATGCAACTGTTCAAGGCTGGTAACTGTATGGCATCCCGGGGAGAAATGGCATCATGGTTGAGGATCTGGGGGCATTGAAGGTTGCGGGTCGCGGTCTCATTAGGGGTGACGCCAAAGGCCGCACCTTCAAGGGTTTGGCTATGATGGGGATGGAGGTGCTGATGGAAGTCTCCTTCAACGTGGCAGTTCGTTTGCAACCTTCTCTGCGCCAGCAAGAAAACAAAAGGTGATTTTAAGCCGCAGATGGTCCCAAATGCATGGGTTTGAGGAGTCACAAAGGTGAAAACCTGAACTAACAAAAACAGTGGCAACATGGAATCCCCGATTGATGGAAGAGTAAGCGGGTTTAGCCACCGGCTCCGGTATGGGCATATGCGGCGAACAATTATATGTCTATCATATCAGTTTCAAAAACACATGCTAGTAACAACAGTGAGGTTAAGAGTAAGCTGCATACAATCACACTGGTACAGGTCATAATACTTTTTGCAGGGATAGAGCAATGAAAATGACAATACTACCTGGTAACACTAGAACTCGTACCGGTGTGAATGTTCACAAACCCCCGGGAATTCAAGCATGCGGCCAGCGATGAAAATGGTCATGCGACGGGGCCAAAAGACCCAGTAGCAGCAGCACGACCAGCACTAGCACTAGCAGCAGGGCCAGCACGGCACAGTCTCCAACAAAAGCAGAAGGAGTAGCAGCACAAGGACCCCCCCCACCACCCCCCACCACTAAACTCACTAGAACCATCCGCAACGGCGGCGGCAGCAGCCCCAGTAACCATGCACGATCATAACGACATCAACGACCACAACAGCCGCCGCAACGGCAACTGCCACAGCCGCCGTCTCCACCAAGTATGGAGGCGACGACGATAAACGTTGGTATCTGTAACGACATTAATTCAAACCAATCTCCTTATCTTTCTTCTGCAATCTTTTTTCCCCACGAGTCTTCCTTTCATTTAGCCCCGCTTCCCTGCATCCCTCCTCCAACTCCATCCTTCTTTCTTTCCAGCAAGAGAAGAGCAAAGCAACCAAACAAGCGCACAAGGGCAGACACGGGGGAGCGGATACACAGAGAAGAAATGGAAAACAATGCTGACAGCGAGGAAAAAAAGAGCGGAGCGAAACCGCACATACCTCTCTGGACCCAGCCCAAACACCAAGCCCAAATGTAAAAGCACTACGCCAAACGCCCACAATTTCAAGCCTAATCGCGGACCTCAAAGGCACAAATCCCCAACTGAAAACTCCTACCAACTGCCAGGGCAGGTGTCAGCGTTCCGGCTGGAGAGCTGAAAGGTCCCGTGCTGTTGGTCCTTTGTTCTCTGCTTGGCTGCTTGGATATCTTGGGTCCAGGGCGATCTGAAGTCAAAGGTGATGCCAGAGATTATCCGCTTATACCTTCTATGCTTGACGTAAAGTGTCAACACGTGCCGCAGTGCAGTATTATAACCGTATCACTGTTCAGCTGCACTCTGGTGTAGTACAGTATACAGCATGATAAACTGTCGCATATGGGGAGGAACTTGTAGCTGGAACCTTGTAGCTGGTCACAACAAGGGTTATATGTTACAATCGTATGCGTAGCCGCAGCACCACAAATTAGGTCACTGAAATATTGCCATTATGGGCTAAGTATGAGGCGCCAATCACAACGTGATACTAACTTCTGTTGCAGACTGCGACTCCTTGATTGGCGTTCAGGGCTCAGGATGGTTCCCAAGCTCCAACCTGTAGAATGGTTCTCACTCATGCTATACATGTTGACAAAAATCATAATAATAACCTCACGTTTCGACTTACGGTTCGGGCTTGAGTTTTGAGCTGCTTTGAGGTTTCAGGAACCCAATCGAATATTTGCAAATTATGCCCAACCCTACCACTTCCTTAGCCTAATCAATCCCAGAGTTGTCAAGACATTTTTTGAGGCACAGACTGGGTACGGTGCCGGCACAACTGAGACTTCAACCAGCCAGCAGATTCTACTGACATGATTGTCATGCTACTTGGCAAGCTATGGGGGAAGGTTTGAGTGAATGCAACATGAGAGGCAACAAGACACCCCATAACTCAAGAGTGTACGGCGGACTAGATCAGCAATCAGTGCGAAAGCCTGACTTGTGGCTGGAAACTAGACACTGGATAATCATCCTTGCACGTGTTGTTGCTTGAGGAGCACATAATTGGCGAAATGGAAGCCGTTGGTATTCAATTCATTTAGCGTATTCTTTGTCCAACTTCTTCTACATTTCGGACATCAAGCAGGACTCAAAATCAGCAACGATGTGCACAGGCAGAGGTTGGCCAGGAGCCACCAGGACGCTGTAGGCACCTCCATGGCGGGCTTGGGGTTCAGGACTCTTTACAGCGAAGATGCTGGCAAGGATTCTATGGATGGATTAGTCTGGGCGCTGCAAGGAGCATTCATTATGAGGCCTGCGGTGAAGAACTAGATAGAAATGAAACGGAATCTACCTGCGATTCCGTTAGAATGCCCTTTCACCTGCTGCTATGCGAGGTGTGTGGTTTACATCTGGGACCTGATGGAAAAGCAGCAAACATGTCTTGGATGGACATACGTGGGTTGGAAGGGTTCAGAAATGGGGTACCGCAGAATGAGTGTGTCAGCGGCCAAAAAATGCAAGAACAAAAAGGAAGGAAGCACGCGTTGAAGTGACCGCATTGCTCGAGGCTCAAGACCTTTGCCGTTCGGTCAACACGCCTTGACAATGCGCTGGCTGCACACCACCTGGAAGTGTGACTATGAGCTGACTCCGGTTCATGCTCCTGCTGCTGGTCCGCGAAGAGCCTAATGCGCTAGTGGAATACGGCGGTTGGAACAAATCCTGATTCGGGTTGAAGTCTGTTTGGACTTGTACGTATACCAACATAATCAGTGAAACCACTGTCTTCACTGACCCTCCCGCAGATTCCTTCTGTAAGCCATAGCAACATGCAAAATGTGCTCTTCATTCGGGTCACCATTTGAAAGACAACAGCTAGGGCTAGATGATAAGACGTCGCAAGTTCTCGCACCTTGTCCTGGCGGCTCTGGAAATCATTGAGCGCCCTCTCCTGAGCCGTTTGTGTAGTTGTCCTAAACCTTTACCATTAACAATGAAACTCAGGGATGGTTTAGGGTGACTTGGGGCCTCCCAAAGATATCGGCCTCAACAAGTATTATGTTATGAGCTTCTCA